GCCAGACGACTGCTACCTCTTTGGGTACGCGGACGACATCGCTGCCGTCATAACAGCTCGTAATACCGACATAGCCAGACGCAAACTAACACAAGTCATGCTGCGAACACAGACATGGTTGGACTCACACGGCCTTAGCCTAGAAAAGCCTAAGACTACCTATAAGAATGGACAAACAACTGACGTACTGGGCTCAAATTCAGCACGCTGCTAAAAAGTCAGCCAATATAACCATGTCGCTTTCAAGACTTATGGCAAACATCGGAGGTCCGCTTGCAAGCAGAAGGAAACTGCTCATGGACACAACACAGTCAGTGTTATTATATGGTAGTGAACTGTGGGCCGATACATTAAATGTGAAACATAGACGGAAAGTAGTTGCTAAGGTGCAGAGAACAGCAGCCCTGAGAGTCGCCTCCGCTTACCGCACTGTATCCGATTGCGCAGTGCTAGTGATAAGCTGCGTAATCCCAATAGATCTACTCGCAAAGGAGAGAAGACAACTCTGGTTATGGAAAAAAAATAGAAGGGAAATACACATGCAAGCAAAAGAACAAGCAAAAAAGCAAACACTCTAATTTTGGCAAGATTGGTGGACAAGGGAGCGCAAAGGGAGATGGACCGCCAAATTGATCAAAGATATAGAGACATGGCACAGTAGAAAACACGGCGAGGTGAACTACTACCTAACACAGATGCTCTACGGCCACGGATTTTTTCGAAAATACCTGTATAATATGGGTAAAGCCGAGAGCTCTGCATGTATTTACGGAGACGAACCACTCGATGATGCAAACTATACCTTCTTTAAGTGCCAACGATGGAATGAAGCTCGGAGAACTCTAGAGAACAAAGTTGGCCTCCCTACGGCCTAAAAAAAGGCCCCTATTACCGTTTTCAACCCAACTGCATTTTGGTTGAAGTTTTGAAATTCAGTATTACGGTTTTCAACTCAACCCGTCAAAAAAAATTTCGGCTCAAGTGCTGTCATACTTTAACCTTTTTTACGGCTTTCACCTCTTTGCCAGCGGGGTTGATTATCAAGTAGTTTCAATTACTCGCAAGCAGTTGTGGTTAAACATTAATAAATTTATTTAGGAAAAATATTAATAGGAAATGGAAAATGAGTAAAAAGATATTATAATTTCAAACAATTTTAATCAATTATTATGTACAAGTCTAAAGAAATGTGAAAAATTTGTTGAGCTCGTGGAGTAAAATCTCGAAACTGGACGTGAAAAGCTATAATTCGGAAAAATTAAAATAAAATTAAGGGACTGCGGCAAGTGTTTCGAACATAAAGAGTTGATACAATATACTATTACTAGGGATATACTTTTTTGAGTTAATTCAATTTTTTAAGCGTTTTGTTCTTTTTTAGTCATTTGTGTTTTATCCACACCGCACAAATATGGTGTTCATAATATTTAAAAGCAGGATCGTAGAGTGTTTCAGCTCAAAGTTAAAATCATTTAAAATGCATTCTTGATAACTATCGGCAGGAAGGAAATAGAGAGTAACATTCCTTCATCTCATTTAGTAAAAAAACAATATGATTTCTCATTTAAACGAAAATAACTCATGAATCTGTAATAAACATTATTTAAAAGCCATTTAATTGCCAATAAAACTTTGGCTTACTTGGTGTTAGGAAGTTCGATTTGAGTGATCACAAAGGCTTTATCGTATGCGCAGCACATCAGTTTTGGCCCCAACATTCTTGTCATCGTTATAACGGGTGTTTTTTTGGAGGTATAGAACTTTAAGTTGGCATTACTGTTCGATTTAACAGATGTCAAGTGATTTATTCTCAGTTTGGTTTGGCAATTCATCATGAATAGACTCACGCCTGAACAACGCTTGCAAATAGTGCAATTTTATTTCGAAAATACTGGTTCTGTGCGAAATACGTATCGCAAACTACGTTCATTTTATCGCGCATTTTATGAAGCGCACTTTCGGTTGAATGGCTACGTCAACAAACAAAACTGCCGCATTTGGAGTGAAGTTATCCTCAAGAGTATGTCGAAACACGGTTACATCCAAAAAACTGATTGTTAGGTGCGCTTTATGGGATGGTGGAATCATTGGTCCCGACTTCTTCAAAAACGATGATGGGCAGAACGTTACAGTCAATGGTGATCGGTATAGTGCCATGATTACTAACTTTTTCATTCCTTAATTGAACAACCATGATGTCCAGGAGCTGTGGTTCAAACAAGACGGCGCAACATATCACACAGCTCGTGCCACAATCGATTTATTGAAAGACACGTTTGGTGACCGCCTAATTTCACGTTTTGGACCTGTGAATTGAACTCCAAGATCTTGTGATTTAACACCGCTAGACTACTTTCTGTGGGGTTATGTAAAGTCATTCGTCTATGAGCTCAACCATTTGGAAGACAACATTCGCCGTATTATTGCCGATTCAGAAATCATATTTAAAATGTAATGCCACAAGATTATCTTTCGGATAAATAAAATTCATGTCAATCGAATAATCCATCGTTGTTTTATTGCAATTTAAAGTTCCATACCTTTAAAAAAAACACCCTTTATAAATCAAAACTAATGTCCATTTTCGTGAGCAATAACTAAATTAAATTGTAATAATCTTAATACAAAAAAAAGAGTGGAGTTGATCTGAAGTTGAATTGCTTCAACTACAATTCAGCTGATTGGAGTTCAAAACCGTAATAGGGGTTTGCTTCGCGTCAGCTAAAATTATTAAAATTAATTAAAAGTAAATATAATATATTGAGTGATGTGGAAAAAGTCAACTAGAGGATCGGAAATCATTAAAATAGCGATATGAGGTTTAGAGCAACTCCATCTATATTCAGAGCTAACCCACATAATTTTAAAGAAAACTTGGCAATTTAATTTCATCAAAACTTCACAGATGACATACATACCATAAAGGCACTATATATGCAAAGTTTTATCCCGATATATTCATTGGTGCTTGATTTATATACTGAAAAGTGAATGAATCAGATGGAATTTTAAGTTGTGTTAAATGCGAAGTAGGTGTAATTGTAGTTTAATTTTTCCCATTTTCGTACTTTAACCTAGGATATTGCTACGTACTGACATTGGTTGAGTAGGTCCGGAGATATGAGATTTCACCATAAGGTGGGCGGTGCCACGTCCATTGTCCAATTTTGACACCGCCGGATTTATCATCTGATTTCACCTTTTTTCATACTGTCGTAAGAGGTGTCAATAATATTTGTCTTGTACAAATTTGGGAGATATAGCTTGAAAGGTTTGCGAGATATATAAAGGGTCTACCAACAAGAACGATGTGAAGTTCAAATGAAATAAAACACTCAAATTTGGTCATAATAGGTTATGTTTGATTTATTATGCAGATAATTGTATAGTTTGAATAAAATGTACAACCAATTTCGGCTATAGTGCGCTGAATGATTAAAGGCGGAAACCTTTAAGGTTTCGAAACCGCCATACCACAATTGTATTTCCTGAACCACACGAATATTTGACTCACCCCAATAGCGAAAATTTTGTTTGTTGACGAAGCAATTAAGCCAGAAATGGGCCTCATTTGAGATGATTTTTCAATTAATATTTTTTCAACTTTTTTTCGAGAACGTGAATTTGTGTAATTATCTAGGGCAATTTCCAAGCGTTGTATTAAAGTAAAACTTGACATGATGAAATGGCAGGCTTTACTAAACACACCAACAGAATTTTACATAAGCCGCCAAGCTGTCAAAATCACGTCATCCCTATTGGTAGACGTTGTACATTAAACCTCTTATGGGGCCAAGCCCACTTTTTAAAAATCCGTCGCCGTCTCTTTCCTTAATGCGATCCGTTGTACCAAACAAAATACAGTTTTATAAGTTATGGCAATTTACAGGTTTTCGAATAATGACGTGGCAGAGGTCCGATTAGGCCCATCTACAATACTAAATAAATACTTTTTATGGTGCCAAGGAACACGTGTACCAAGTTTTATCAAGATATCTTAGCTTTTACTAAAGTTACAGATTGCACGGACAGACAGACTGTCACCCAGATTTCAACTCGTCTCGTCGCCCACATCATTTATATATCAAACTATTATACTCTGCAGCAACATGTTGTAAGAATATAAAAATCGATATCATAATTTCGTGTAGGTGAAGGCGATACATCGATTAAAGCTATATTTCCATTTATCCATTCCAAGGTGCAATTAAATGGTGCATTACTTTACGAAACAGCGCTTTATTCATTTTGAACTAAGGGCTTTGATGGCCTTTTCCATGCTTATCGCGTCTAGTCCACACAGATGAAGGTCGATTTGACAAACTGAATTGATGGAACCATGTATTTTATTTTGATTGAACATTTCCAAAGTGATAAATTCGTTGTGTTTTTGGTCGATATTGAGACACTTTCCACAGAATTATAAATATTTTTAACCATAAATTGAATTACTTTAACATAACTCTTAATATACCAGCGGTTTTCTTTTTTTCTTTGTGTCGAGTATAAATTTCGTTATAACAAAGATTAGTAGTTTTTGGATTTTTGAAATTTAATATTTTTACTTTAAATTTTAAAATTTTAATTATTATGAGAATACATCCGTACGTAAGCAGAGGTTTAAAGTTGCAACAATTGTAGCAGTACTTTAAATAAAGATCATTTCATCAACCGTAATTCTACTATTTTATAATTTTACGTATCATCCAACACAACAAATAATAATTTGAATGTAGTTGATATGACAATAGTTTGATTGTGTGGCGGGTTTTAACAGTAAGTAAAGTTATGATCCGCAATATTTACCTCCTGCCGAAGATAAACGACTCAAATACTATTACAATTATATAATTAGCTGTTTTTGGATTTAAAATTATTGAAAAAAAAAGTTATACCAAAATAATTTAGATGGGTTGACAGGAAAATAGAGATAAGATAATCTATGAAAACCATCTTTGCCGGTTGATAGCGAAGTGAATGCTGAAAAAACAATTTCTTACCGTCTGCAAGATCCTGCTTATTTGCAAATATCAGAATAATGGCGTCTCTCATTTCTCTATCATTAATTATTCTATGAAGTTCCGTTCGTGCTTCATCTATCCGGTCCCTATCAGCGCAATCAACAACAAATATCAACCCCTGTGTGCCTAAAAAAAAAAAAATTTCATATAATATATATAAAAAATTAACAAAAAAAAAAAAACAAAATACCTGTATAGTAATGCCGCCAGAGAGGTCGAATTTTATCTTGGCCACCCACATCCCACACATTGAATTTAACATTTTTGTAGGTTACAGTCTCAACGTTAAATCCTACTGTTGGAATCGTCGTAACGGACTGCCCCAACTTCAGTTTATAAAGAATTGCTACACACATTATTTTGTTTAGGAAACCAATTCATAAAAAAACAAGAAAAAACGTTAACTTCGGTTGCACCGAAGCTATAATACCCTTCACAAATACAAAGGCTCCTTACTCGATTCCGATCGTTCAATTTGTATGGTAGCTATATGATATAGTGATTCGATCTATACAATTTCTTCGGAGATTGCATTATTGCCTTAAATAAAAATCCATGCAAAATTTCGTGAAAATACCTCGTCGTGAAGATACGTCGTGGACCGATTTCGGCCGTTCCGGCAAATAAGCAGCTTCTTAGTGAGAAAAGTACAGGTGCAAAATTTCAGATCAATAGCTTAAAAACTGAGGGACTAGTTTGTTTCCTTCTTGTTGTTACAGACTTCGAGGCAAACTTAATATATCCTATTCAGGGTATAAAAATGGAAGTTTTAACGTGCTTCTCAAAAGTTAATAAAAACAATTTAAAAACATGTTCAAACTTATTATAGCAGTAACCCCCCTCTTACGAATAAATTACTATTATAATTAATTGCATTAAAAGTGTCGGAGCCGCCTCCGTTTTTAGAATAAGTCGACGACATTGAACATCTTGCTGACCAGACTACGAATACAACTGACATCAGACAAGCACTGAACGCTATTCGCAGTGGGTCTATTAACACTTTTATTGACTTCCTTTTGACGAATCGCGTCCTTGAAGTTCGACCACCAGTAATACTAGAAGAGTTTGAATTGCCTCGCGAATATAGAAAGACCCTCGCGCAACTACGTCCTGTATGCTGTAGCGAGTTACACTCCGACTTATCCAGAATCGGCCATAACATACCAAACCTATTTCCTCCATGCAATGAGCCCCCGCATGACTCTAACCATTTTTTTGCATGCCCCATGAGCAACACTACTTTCCCTATCGCCCGACCGCATAGAAACAGCCCGTTTTCTGAACCTCCCGTGTGGTGATTTCAATGACAATTAAATTGCGACTTGGCAACTCAAACAGGGACTGTATATTGATTGATTCATATTTCAATAAACTCTTTTTAAATTACCAAACAATAAGGTTGTATTTTTATGCAAAATCCACAAAATGACCATGAAGGATTTTTTTTAAAAAGGATACTTGTTTTCCCCGCCGCGTCCAGGCCAAGCATCAGAATCCGCATTTCCTTGTTGCCAAAAATTTTAGAAAGTAGTTTCCCCATAATAGAATGTCATCAATTGCCACAATATATCTAAAAATAATATAAAAATTTTCATCTGAATAAATCTACCTTATATTATTGCATATTAATAAATTTTTATATAATGAAAGTAGTCAAGTATACAATACTAAGATCGGATTGTAGCAATTGTCTTATATGGGAAGTGAGCATTCTTGTGAATAGTAAATAATATAATAAGTTACTTCACATCGCTATTTGATGCTCAATCTAAAATTTCTAGCTATATTTTTTTTTTAATGGTGATTTGTGGACCTGACAATGATATCAATTCGAATTTTAATTAAGACGAACAACTACATATATTAGATATTCTTGCTTTTCTGATAATGTTAATACATTTATGTATATAATCCTACATCAATGTCATAATAAAGTGCAGTGGTGACCATATCATATGCAATTAACAAAGGTTTTACCCAACAATTAAAATAATTTTTTTTCCTATTTATTTAATCAAAAGAGGAAAATTTAATAAATTTATAATAAGAAATAATGCCTTGAAATTCATTAAACTGTTTTACCATGGCTGACAAAGAATCTTGTGAGTACTAATGTATTGATGTTGCAACAGGCAAAATTAGCGCAGTCACTCAAATTTACAAACCAGAAAAACCGAGTAACACGACTTACTTTTGTCATAGGGTATGTCAGCAAGGATTTTAATTTCTGGAATACCGTCATTTTTGCAGTTGAGTCAAAATTAAGATATTTGGGTATCAGAGTACACTCTACGTCTAGAGGAAACCAAATACTGTGCAAACCAAAAAAACTTAATAGCACCGGGAGAACATGATGGTAGGCTAATGGTTTAAGCAATATTTTCACAGAAGGCATATGAAATCTGGAGTTTATTGAGTGAATATTTGAAAATAGTGTTCACCTCCACATACAAAAAAACCATTTACAGAAGCTTTTGATATGCTAGAACGGTTCCGTCTCTATAAAGACAAAGGTTCGAGATGAACGACAAAGGGAATTGTTGGGTTTTTACACCCTCCTAAAGTAAAAGATCATGATATGTTTACAGGCAGAACAAAATGATTAATTGGTCCATTCTAATGGATTATGTATAGAAATCACTTTAATTTTCAATGAAAAAACAGCTTCAGTTCATAAAAATATTTATGTTCTCAAAATCGCTTATTTTAAATAATATCTATGTTTCCATTTAATGTAATTTATATTAAAAATATATCTATACATTTGTACCTCTGTTGCAAAGCTAAGGACAGGAATATAGTACCTCTTAATCTATAGAATTTTGGAAATAAAAACAAGTAAGGAAAGGCTAAGTTCGGATGTAACCGAACATTTTATACTCTCGCAAAGTCAAATGGTATACTCGTTTGAGATTTCTTTGTGGATTGACTGATATTTTCGGTAAAAGGGCAACTATTGGCACTGGGGTCCACATATTTAGTACTTAGGGGCTTGAACAGTTTTGGTTCGATTTAGACAATTTTTGGTCACAACATTGGCATACTTTAAACGTATTGTACACGCAAAGTTTTACCCCGATATAATCATTGCTACTTGATATGCACAGTGGAAAGTGAAAGAATCAGATGGAATTAAAAATGGTGTTATATGGGAAATAGGCGTGGTTGTAGTCCGATTTTGCCCATTTTCGCACTATAACATAGAAATATGAAAAGAACGTTATGCACCGAACTTGGTTGAAATCGGTTAAGCAGATCCCAAGATATGGGTTTTCAACTAAAAGTGGGCGGTGCCACGCCCACTGACTAATTTTGAACGCGGTTCCTATAAAGTCATCTCATACCATTCCAGAGATAAAATTTAATGTCTTTGGCGTGTTTAGTGCTTGATTTATCGCGCTTTTAGTAGTTTTTAACAGTACAGTTATATGAGGAGTGGGCGGGCTTGTCACCCGATTTCACCCATTTTCACACCGTCAATAGAGGTGCTAAAAACATTTGCTCCCAGTGAATATGATTATTATAGCTTTAGCAGTTTAGGAGATATGCACATTAAACTTATTAGAAGCGAAACCACGCCCACTTTTTACAAAAAGTTTAACTGCAGATACCCCTCCCTAATGTGATCCTTTATACCAAATAACAGTGGCAATAAGATACTTGTTAGCTGTCAACATGGAACCCATTTGCTATTGTTCATATAACGAAAATTGTGTAAAAATTAAATGCTTATTTAAAGCAAATATTTAAATATTTAATATAAAATAAAAATGTAGAAACATTGAAGTGAAAAGTTAATGTATATTAAGTGCATAATATAAAGGAAAAGATAACCATAAATCGAGAAATTGTAAAATAAAATTTGTGAAATTTTCAACTTAAAATGCAAATATCTCGAAAACTATAAGTTTCCGGCGGCAATGCCCATCTGCAATAACAACCGTCTTACGGTGCCAAGAAACATGTATACCAAGTTTCATGAAGATATCTCAATTTTTACTCAAGTTACAGCTTGCACGGACGGACGGACGGACAGACAGTCACTCGGATTTCAACTCGTCTCTTCATCCTGATCATTTATATATATATAACCCTATATCTAACTCGATTAGTTTTAGGTGATACAAACAACCGTTAGGTAAACAAAACTCTTACTTTAAACGTATTATTCATGCAAAGTTTTACCCCGATATAACCATTGTTGCTTGATATTCGTAGTGGAAAGTGAAAGAATCAGATGGAATTGAAAATGGTGTTATATGGGAAATAGGCGTGGTTGTAGTCCGATTTCGCCCATTTTCTCAAACCTATTAGGGGCGGGACCACGCCCACTTTAAAAAAATTTAACTGCAGATGCCCCTCTCTAATGTGATACTATGTACCAAATAACAGTCTTGTATCTTACTGCGGAGCTTAGTTATGGCAATTTATTTGTTGCTGCAATACCAACCGTCTCCCGGTATCAAGAAACATGTCTACCAAGTTTCATAAAGATATCTCAATTTTTATTCAAGTTAGAGCTTGCACGGACGGACGGACGGACAGATAGTCACCCGGATTTCAACTCGTCTCCTCATCCTGATCATTTATATATATATAACCCTATATCTAACTCGATTAGTTTTAGGTGATACAAACAACCGTTAGGTAAACAAAACTATTATAATCTGTAGCAACAGGTTGCGAGAGTATAAAAATGCGTTACAATTATATAAAGTTGATAGCCCAGAAACAACAATTTGTCTAATAGTGCAAACAGTTACCAACGCAAAACCGTGGGCCGAATCAGCTGATACGACCTATCTTATGAGAGCGCAATATACAATAAATTAACACTCACCACTGCTTCTAAAGTCCGCTTCTACACACCGTACAGTATGATATCCGCGAAAACTGGACTTTTCCCATAGAAACGAGTGAACTGAGAGTGAGAGAGCAATCTCTTGCAACGCAGGGTTGCCAATCTTGATATTTTGTAGTAATTAAAAAATAAACTTGAATATATTTGAAATATTCTTAAAATAACTCAAAATCACAGTCGAATACATTTTTTATAAACAGGTAAACTATACTTAACAGTTGGATTTTAGTTTTGAACTTTTACATTATGAAAAAGTATAGCTAAAAATCTAAATGAGTGAATACCAACAGAACAATGGCAACATTGGTGAAATGAAAAAAGATCTGATTTCTGCATTGCAACTACGGGCAAAGTTCGTTGGATACGGGCGGTAATAGCGGAAGGGAGGAATGTCGGTGACTGTTTGAGCTATAAAGTGTTTTAACTCATAATGTCAAAATCAGGTATTTTTTGTTTTTGATGATTCAAAAATAAATTTTTCAAAGATTTCAAACAATGAAAATGAGTTTTTTAAGTGATATGTGAAAACGAATAATATATTCGTATCTATCTATATCTATAATCTAAATCAAACAAAATCTTTAAAATGTAAACAAGAAATTCAAGAGAAAAACAAAAAAAAAAGTGTTTATATATTTTTAATGTTATACATTTTTTCGTAAGAGGAACAAGCTCTGAAGTAACACAACCCGTATATAAATGAATCATTGTAACATAATATTACAAATAAATTTTAAACATAGTAGCATAAATATAAAATGAAAATATTAGCATTTTTAATTTTTTCTTTTTCATGAAGTTAATATATACTGTCAGCGTCAAAAGAAAGTGTACACCTTTTTCTCATACATTTCACCCTTCCTGTCAATATAAAAAAATTAAAATTATTTAAAATGAATTATCATTTAGAAAAGATTACATATTCCTACAAAAAATTAACAGAAATCCCAAAAAAAAAAGGCAAAAAAAAACAAACTAAACCAAAAATACGCAATACATCGCATTTCCATTTTACGCAAATAAATATACCGTTAAATTTTCTCATTGTAACTGCTTCATTCTAATGTTGTTTAGTATGCTTAAGCCGATGGAATATTACTTGTGCTTAGAAATTAGATCACAACAATTTTACAAATGGATAATCAAACGTCACCTGATGTAGGAAAATTAGGGATTAGGGTTCGGTGATGGTTTGGGGTTGCATGACGGGAAGTGGAGTGGGAAGCGTGATGATTACACACTGTGACACTCCAAAATACCTAGGAAGTGATGTTATTTTTTTTGTAGGTCATGTCGAGTAGAACAAGAATCCAATTTAGGAATTTGCCATTAGTTAATTCTCTACCGATTTTTAAAATTAAACATTCTTTAAACTTGGTATTGAATGTAACCTTTGATACAAATCACAGCATATTTAGTTTTCTTATAAAATAGTGCGAAAATATCGCGAAAGTCAAAAGAAAAGGAGAAAAAGGGTAGTAAATTTTAAGTTTGTTGTGCAAAAACAAATAAATCTTTTAGCCTTATAGAGACGCCTATATATCATTCGAAAGGTCTGAGTTTCTCCTTTCTTAAACCGTTCTTGAATTAAAATTCGAGTGATAATTAGCTGAAATATGGGCTGATAGTGCGCTAAAGTACGAGAAGTCGGTTTTTTAAGTCTTTTAAGGTTCCAAAATTGGATTCTCGTTCTACTCGACAAAATCTAC